ATATATCAACAGATGAATAACTATTCCACACTCCTATAACATAAAAGGGGTGTATTTCTGTCATTAATGATTATCAATTTGAAGTTCGTATTTTAGTTGACATTTGAACTGTATCGATTCGTGCGCCACTGAAGAGTCTTGGCGTACCAAATCATTAGCAAGGTATATTCGTTTATTCGTTTTAGAACATTGTTTCTCCTAACGATTTGAAGGAAACGTAAAATGATAATATGTACAATTCTGTTTTTGTCAAATATTTGATTAATATGTTGAATATCCTCCACCGGTACGCTCAATATTAAAACTGAGTATATAATAAAACACTGTTTTTCAGTGGTTGTCGTTTGCTGGTGTGTTTCATATGTGTTTCGTTCTCGATTTTTATATAGGTTAGACCGTTGGTTTCCCTGTTTGAATTGTTTTACACTAGTCATTTTGGGGCTCTTTATAACTTGCTGTTTAGTGTGATCCAAGGCTTATTGTTTAAGGCCGTACTTTGATCTATAAATGTTAACGTTTTATACATTGTGACTTGGATGGAAAGTTGTCTCATTGGCACTCATACCACATCTAAGTTATATATATACAGAAAAGTCGTTACTATATTAGTTAGAGACAACAGTAGTTTACCGATGTTCAAATTATATGTTTTCATTCAGAAGATACAAATAAAGTAAAAATTATGAGGGACTGTACCCTCTGCTCATGCAGTCATAATGTCATAATTGGGAATAGGACACAACCGCTTAATTTACAGATCAGACAAAAAATATGGTATCTACAGACCTAGGACTATCAAAACATGTCGTTAATGCGTTGATACACGACCACATTTGTATATTTCAACGTATTTGTGATGGTGTGGTCGATTGTAATTGTTCTTACTCGCAAAGTTTGTGTGAACCAGGTGTTTTTTAATAAGGAGCACAGACTGCGTTTTTGAAGTTCGTATAGTGTGACAACGTTCGCGCAGAGGATATATATGTGAAGCCATTATATCCAAACGAATTGTCAGTTTACTTTTAGAACGTTTACAAGATTTAAAAATTGGAAATCTACAAAACAATGTCTTATTTAATTCATGCTCACTGCGTATTAACAGAAACACTGACCTCCAAAATCAAAAGTTAGACTGTATCATGTAGAAGTACGAAATGCGTCTAAAAGAAATAATCCACAATGCTTTTCAACATAGAAATGGAAGCATACGCTATCCATTTCTTAATTTGGGATACCATATCTTGTTAATAGTGAACAAAAAATTAAACATCCTACATAGAGGAACACGTGATCAGTATGCTGGAGTTTCTTATTGACAACATATCTGTTGAATTTTTAGAAAGACTTTTTCAACAAATAGGTGGCATTCCTATGGGAACGATCTGTGCGCCTCTCCTTGCCGACCTATTCTTATTTCTATATGAGTCGGAGTTCCTTCAAACACTTGCTATAAACAAAAAGGTAAAAGAAGCCGGATCATTTAATTTCACATTCAGATATATTGATGATGTTCTTTCCATTAACAATCCAAACTTTTTTTATTGGGTTTCATTAATATATCCATCAGAACTAGAAATTAAAAAAGCAACAGACACGGCTTCCTCTGCCTCATTTTTAGACTTATATCTCGAATTTAAAATCAGCGGTCATCTCAGTACCTGAATCTATGACAAACGAGCTGGAGACGATTTCAATTTTAAAATTATTAATTTCACCTTAGAAGCAATATACCAATTTCACCTGCATATGGGATATACATTTCCTAACTCATTCGACATTCAAGAGCCTGCAGCTGCTACTCAGTCTTTGTAAAACGTCACCAGTGTATAAACAGAAAGTTGACGAACCAGGGTTATGTCAAAGAACGTCCTGTCCTTTTTCTAAAACAAGTTCATAGGAAGTACCAAGACCTTGTTGATAAATATTCTGTATCAACTTCACAAATAATACAAGATGGTTTTGAAGTATAGATTCTAAGTACTGACGTTGGTTATCATCTTAATTATGTGTTAAAGAGTCTTTTTGTTTGAATTTGTAAATGATTACTTTTACTGATTAGTCTATTTTTGATAATATCCACTTGACGTGGCTCGGTACTTATACATCCCGTCATTGGTTTATTGTACTATGGTAATTTTTGTATTCTAGTTTTTCGTTTTTGTTGATGTGCTTTGTCCATATTTACAAGTAAAATGTGCTTTTAAAAACCTACAGGCACAGTCCAGTAACCATGTGAATGACCATGAACTTGGACAAGGAAATAAAATAATTTTGAATTCACGATCAAATTGTGCTTTTTATTAGAAGAAGCTACAGATGTACCTCAATTTACCATAGCTGTTATTAGTATATTGCGTCGCATGAAAGGTTTATCGTATATCCACTATATTGATGATCTTAAATGGCGACAACAGTTTTCACGATTCAACTAGTAAAATATTTTTGATTTGATTTGACAGTTGTTGGGTTTCTCTTCAATGACATTTTTGAACGTAAATTTATGTAGACACTGGAAAGTAACTCGCACCAGAACAATTATTACTGACATGTAAAATATATATTAATTAATAACGCAGAGTACTTCGACATCACAGTTATTGAAACAGGATGGTTAAATGAATTTACCAATATTGACCATATACCATCTATATTGTTTAGTCTTCTGTGGGTATTTAGCTCATAGACAATCCCATTAAATCTCCTTATTTTCATAATGAGAATTATGACAGGATATTTGCGTAAAAGCTACTAGTCTTAAAAAATCTAAAAAAAACAATCCAATCATAGCATTTACACAAGTAAAAAGTAATGATCTTACATGACCGTATGCTTGCTGAATATTTTAAGCACATAGCGTATAATTGCCAATGAAACAACTCTCCATCCGAGACCAAATAACATAACAACTATTCTTTTTTTCACTTCTGCATAAAACTACTTGTTTCCCAAACCCAAAGTTTGGTATATGTGTTTTTATATATTTATACTTAGTGAAAAGAAACACACAACTGCTTGGATGTTTCATTTGCAACGTTCCGCAATGACTCACGTAAAATAAAGATATGTTGTATGATCACCAATTAGACAGCTATACAACAGAGTCCGAAGGAAGCTGATTTATGCAACAATTGGTCACTGGACGGCCTTCAACAATGAGTAAAACCCATGCCGTACTGTTCAGACAATTTGCTTGCAGTCAATAACGATCTGTTCAGTCTATGTTCAGACTGTTCAGTAGTTAGTATTTACCAGTTCACATCAACATCATTTTGAATTTTTGAAAAGCTTCTAAATAGTACTTAATTGACTGCTAGCGAAAAATATGAACAGTACTGAATTCAACGCAGTGAATTAGTCTGAAAAAATATACTGATTGACTGCACACGACTGAACTGTATTGTTCAGACTTTTCAGATTTTGTTAATGTCAAATAACTATTTCATTTAAAATGTATCTGTTTGACAAAAATTCACCCTATTTTCACCACTAAATTATTTGAGTTGAAATGTAAAACAAATACTTATTGGTTTTGCTTTCTGTTACAATTAGGTGGCAAGACTCTTTTGATTCATTGGAAACTTTTATTTTTCCTTTCGTACTTCTTACTGTCGTTTTTTATCTAGATATGGTGGAGTTATGAGCTCCATATCATAGGGTCAAACACTGACTATTTGTAGAAGACTGAAGTATCTTACTATGTTTTTTATATCTAGATATGGTAGATTCATGAGATCCATATTATAGGGTCAAACACTGACTATTTGTAGATACTGCAGTATCTAGATATGGTTGATGTATGAGCTCCATATTAAAGGGTCAAACACTGACATTTTGTAGAAGACTGTAGTATCTAACTACTGCAGTATCTTACCATCTTTTTATATCTCGCTATGGTGGATTTATGAGCTCCATATTTTAGGGTTAAACACTGACTATGTGTAGAAGACTGTAGTATCTAACTATCTTTTTATATCTAGATATGGTGGATTTATGACTTCCATATTATAGGGTTAAACACTGACTATTTGTAGATACTGAAGTATCTTACTATCTTTTTATATCTAGATATGGTAGATTCATGAGATCCATATTATAGGGATACATACTGACTATTTGTAGATACTGCAGTATCTTACTATCTTTTTGTATCTAGATATGGTTGATTTATGAGCTCCATATTATAGAATCAAACACTGACTATTTGTAGATACTGCAGTATCTAGATATGGTTGATGTATGAGCTCCAAATTATAGGGTCAGACATTGACTATTTGTAGAGGACTGTAGTATCTAACTACTGCAGTATCTTACCATCTTTTTATATCTCGATATGGTGGATTTATGAGCTCCATATTTTAGGGTTAAACACTGACTATGTGTAGAAGACTGTAGTATCTAACTATCTTTTTATATCTAGATATGGTGGATTTATGACTTCCATATTATATGGTTAAACACTGACTATTTGTAGATACTATAGTATGGTACCTATATATATCTTTTTTTTCATGCTGTTATGGCACGTTTACCTAACACCACCTTTTTTATGATAAATACGATAAGTGATAAAAGAGAGGTGAAAAAAGGAAAATGATAACTCATAATTCGAATACAAACTGACAACGCCATTGCCAAATACGAAAGACAAACAACAGCCTACAAACATAACAGGAAAGAAAACAAATAACACGAACCCCACAAAAACCGGGGGAGGAGAGATCACAGGTGCTCCCGAATAATAAGCAGATCCTGCTTTAAATGTTGAAGCCCTCGTGTTGCCAATGCATACCGAATATGGTTATGTCATATTCGAGGACAAGATAATAGGATTGCGGTTTCTAGAATTGGAACATATCGATCGTCATCTGTGAAACGTATTTTCCATAATAGTCAACCAACTCGAGATGTTGTTTGTAAAATTTTCAAATGCATGACTTCAACTTTACCACTTGGAACCTTTTTTGAAAATAAATAAGTTCCCAATCTATAATTGTTTCGGAGGCAAATCTTTATTAATGAACTTCATCTATATAATTATGTATATGAATAAAAGGGAAAGGAAGTAACTCGGATCAAGGACTGTTGTCTGAATTTTAAAATGCTATGGATTCATCATCTTCGGGGATCTTGTTAATAATCACTTCACCTGCAAATACAAAACATAAAAGATAATAATATGACATGTTTTTCAATTTACAAAACTAGATTTTCTCACGGTAATATCCTACCATTATTTATAAAAAAGACGACTTTTTCCTTAATATTGTTTTGCAACGTTTTATTGGTGACAATGTTCCTTTAACATTTATATAGAATGGTCAATTCCATAGCCTGATTCGATTTGCTCATTCTGCAGTGACTTCTTAGATTTGAATGAAAGTCGTTCGCATTGTTAAAAATACCTTTACAGTTATAGCCTAAGTAAAACTTTTCATATTATATATCATAGAGATTGGGACGGACCTGTCTCACATCATATTATTCATCATTGAAACTATAACTGAATATATTTAATTATGAATTGTGTTTTCATACGGATACAAACCTAGTATTTTGATCCTTTTCCGTAACCATAACCACCTCCGATACCAGCTGATACTAGTCCATATCCTGCACCAACTGAAACTGGTCCGTATCCTGCTCCGACGGAGACTGGTCCATATCCAGCGCCGTAACCACCACTAACAACAACTGGTCCTGGACCGTACCCACTACCACCTTTGACTGGTCCATATCCGACACCAGATCCGCTTCCTACAATAATTGAACCCAAACCGATTCCTGAGCCATAACCTCCGGAAACTGGTCCATATCCGCTTCCGCCAACTCCTAGAAGGACTGCAGAACCAGCCCCGGATCCATACCCAGACCCATATCCAGAGCCGTATCCACCACTAACAAGAACTGGTCGTGGTCCGTATCCTCCTTTACCTACAGAAACTGGTCCATATCCAGCACCGGATCCTAGAACAGCTAAAGAACCTACACCGGATCCGATTCCATATCCACCATATCCACTTCCAACACCTCCTAGAAGCACTCCAGAACTAACTCCAGATCCATACCCAGAGCCATATCCAGAGCCGTATCCACTACTGACAAGAACTGGTCCTGGACCGTATCCGCCTTTACCTACTGGTCCATATCCAGCACCGGATACACCTCCTATAACAGCTAAAGAACCTACACCAGCTCCGATTCCATATCCACCATATCCACTTCCAACACCTCCTAGAAGCACTCCAGAACTAACTCCAGATCCATACCCAGAACCATACCCGCTTCCATATCCATATGAATCTTTTCCAGAGCTGTAGGCAGAACTGAAGACTGTCAGCAAAACGACAGCGAAAGTGAAATACATTTTGGTACGGATCGTCTGTACTGTAAAGAAATCAGAGGAAGATACATTTATAGTTGTGGCAAAAAATTTAACAACAGATAATTTGATGTCTAATTAGCGTACGCGTACTGCAGCATATGAGAACATGTATACTAAGTTACTTTAAAGTCAATAACTAGAAGAAAAGAAACCCCAAAGATTTGCCTAAAATGTGCTAATTCAAAACATTAAATAGCAAAAAGGATTGGAAAATAAAAAAGAAAAGAAATTTATTCGGTATATTTCAATTTTGTATAAAGAAAACGTGACGTAGATATATAAAACAAAACAGCAACCCCACGACACAAATGATAAGACAACAAGAGGTACACATGATTTATCTATTTATATCTAACTGGCTTTAAATTTGCTTTCATGAACTGCGAGTACTCCTTTTTCGGTGTTTTGTGTCTATTGTGTTTATGTTTGTTGTTGTTTGTATTTGAATGTGCTTCGTGTGAATCTATTATTATTCATAAAGCCATGTGCAACTGATTTTTACTGATTGTTCTTACGGTGTATTCTTTTACAACTGTCCCAGCATAAGGGGTGGGGATGAGGGCTCACAGACATGTTTAATCCGCCACATTCTATATGAGCTTGAATAAAGTCAGCAGCCTGTTTATCAGTGGTTGTTGTTGGTCCATGTCTATCATATTTGCGTTTTTTAAAACTGGTTTGTTACAAATAAGGCCGTTAGTTTTCTTGTTTGAATCGTTTAACATTTTTCATGTCGAGACCTTTTATAGCTGGCTTTACGATACTTATGAGTGTTTTTCATTGTTGAAGGTCGTACGGTGACCTATAATTAATTATATTCACGTTATTAGAACTCTTATGGTAATTGTCTCGTTGGCAGTCGTACCATATTTTTTATACAGTTTATATCGGTAGACAAATATTTATGCAATATGTAAAGCTAAAATCGACACGGCTTCCTTGTAGAGTGGTAAAATATTCATTTATTTATGTTGCATGTTTGAAACATTTCGGATATAAATCTTAAGAACAACAACATATAAAGTTAATTAAAATAGAAAATGCCATTTTCGTGAATTCTTCCCCGGGCCCTTTTTCAATATTGAATCTCTATTCTCTTTCAAGGTCCGGGAAATTCTGCTATTAATGTACAAAAAAGAAAAACCCAAAAAACTTCTGAAAGTGAAAAACACGGTGAAGATCAAAACAAAATGAATAAAAAATCTATTTTTATATATCTACCAACTAATAAGGGGACTGTGCACATGATCTATAATGGAAGAAATAGGCAACTGACTAGCATAGCAAGTTTTCATTAAGAAACAAGAACTTTTAAATAAAAAGACATTGTTTCACTAATAAAAGTGTTTGATAAATTTCAAATACTTTATTTACCGTAAATTAAAAATATCCTATAAAACACAAAAGACACACAAACAAGCAGAAATAATATAAGATCTCAAATTCACAGCAGCCTATATAGCTACTTTTGTAAGACATCAGAAAACTTACCTTAAGATAGGAGCTGGATATAACCTATGCTGAATCCGTAAAATGTTCCTGTTTTTATACTGAAAAATGACTGATTACATACCACATAGTCGATTCATTTATAATCATGCATCATAATTGCATCACCTTTGACCTTTGTTGTCATTCATATGATCAATCCCCCAAATATTAATTATTTTATAAAAGAAATTGAAATAAAACAAATGTACCTGTTTCATCGTTCATATTTGTATGAAATAATAGATGCATGACTTTGTGTTAAACTAAAAGACCACAAGGCAAACGGTTAATAATCATTACATTTTTTCTTTTTTGCTCTCATACTAATATTTCGTTTGTTATCATGACTTTTACTTATATTCACTAATTGTATGTTCATTTAATCTCATCATTCATGAGGAATTAAAGATATGAATGAATGAATGTATTGATTTACTAGATTCATAATAAAAGAGAGAGAGAGAGAGAGAGAGAGAGAGAGAGAGAGAGAGAGAGAGAGAGAGAGAGAGAGCGGGAGAGCGGGAGAGAGAGAGAGAGAGAGAGAGAGAGCAGTCTATGTGTGCGTGCGTTTTTAACAAATGTTTATTTGAACATGCAGATCAATCACATTATGTTTGCCTCTTTAAAATAATCAAAAGAAATTCTTTTTTTTTCTTGCTTTTTCCATATATTATGTAAAATTTATATTACTACAAGTCAGCAACTTTAGATTCAAAGGAAGGCAGTTATGCAATAAAACAAAACTAATTAAGATAGATCTATAATCTGAGTAAAGGGATCACTATCGAAAAAGAAACGATTTAAATCTCATCATGCACTTCCACTACTAGAAGGATCAGATACAATATTGGTGTTTCATAGGTCGCCGTATTATGATAGTTTTTATCAACCATCACTCTTAAATTATGAACTTTGTAATAAGTTGCTCAATCGACAATCGTCTGTACTTTCTTGTGTACACCATTTGTTTAGTCAGTGTTCAATTTTTGGTTTATATTCAACAGTAATTTAAAACAGGCAAAAAATAAAAACCAAAATACATAATTAGATATTTCAGAATCTTTAAAAGAATCAAAACGAATAGAAGATGTGAATTAATTGTCAGATAGGCATCGAACAATTAAATAACAGAAACAAAAAGACAGATTTGGATAAGTTCCAAATATACACTGACGGACAGACAGAACAAACGCAAAACTTAATATATTTGCCGTTTCCGTTTTTAAACTGCTTTATGTAGATATAAGAAGATGTGGTATGAGACAACTCTCCATCCAAGTCGCAATTTGTAAAAGTAAACCACTATAGGGTCAAAGTACGGTCTCCAACACGGAGCCTTGGATGACATCGAACAGCAAGCTATAAAGGGCCCCAAAATGACTAGTGTAAAACCATTCAAACGGGAAAACCAACGGTTTGTGCTTTAACCTTAAATGTTATAGTTGATAGTGTCGCTATTATTCATAAAAATAAAAAAAAGATGTGGTATGATGTCCAATGAGACAACTCTTCACCAGAAATCAAATGAAATGTTATCCAGTATGTCTCACATGCCACGAAAAATCAAATTTAATGTCTTATTTTAAACTTTTTAGCGTCAGACGACAGTAATTTATCTTATTTATGTATGTACTTGTGTTTTAAGTTGACCTAGTCAGTGACCTTGTTAATGACCTTGTTGATGATCTGTTTCTTTTTCCATTATTGACTTTTTTGTTGTTAATTTATTATAATGAGTACTCCTGACAGTTGTCTGCTAAAATAAAACATTTCTTTTTCTCATAATATTACTTTATAAATATGATCGGACATTACTAATACGGTGATATTTGCTAATCCATGTTAAAACAGGCACACATTTTTTCAATTACATTCTCGCTATAATATAAATGGTTATTAATTTTTTTTAGTAACTGAACTGTTCGATTTTGATAATTTCCTAATATTTCTTATTTGTTGGAGAGAATTATGGCCCTGGATACTGTAAACAGTACCTCGACTGGAGGCCTCCGGGTTACAAAAATAAAGTTGCATAGGGGATCATAGATTTATTCTTACGAGGAAGCTCCAAGCATGCTCGGAGGATGCTTGGAGCTTTTTAAGTAGGCTCTTCTCAGCAGTTTATGTGACAATAATAATCATGATCCATTAAGATGTCAATCAAATCTATAGCACTTTTATAATAAGGAAAGTAGAGCATTATAGAGGAAGCTCCATTAACACCTGTATAAACATCTGGTCTATTCAAACAAATCTATAAAATAGATGAGAAATTCAATATTACTGTACAATGCATGGTATTAAGTCTTCACAGAAAGAAAATAATTTTAAAACTGCTGAGAAGAGCCTACTTAAAAAGCTCCAAGCATCCTCTGAGCATGCTCTGAGCTTGCTCGTAAGAATAAATCTATGATCCCTAGGATATATCGATCTTACAGCATTTTCCGTTAAAAAATAGGTTTCCCAATCTTTCCTTTCGAAATAACTAATGCGTTTCCTGTCTACAATATGTAGGGGATATTGGGCGCATCTGTATCTCTTGACTACATTTTGTTTTCATATTGAATACACCTTCTTTAAATGAAAATACATGGACACTTTTGGGATAATTGGCTCCATATAACCTCCATATTGAAGTCTTCTGCAAGTTTTTTGTTGGTCTGCACTCGTCTTAGTTATAGTACAAGCATTTTTTGAAGAAAATGGTGGGTTAAACTCGGTATTATATCCAGCTAACCCTTCTGATTTCTTTGATTATAGTTGTTAAGGGGTCTAATAACAGGATTTTATAAACACACCCTTGGCCAAAACAGAGTGTTAATTAAAGATTTCATACTCAAAACAACAGGAACAAAATGTATGTAAAATTATTTTCTATCCATGTCTGATGAAATTGTAGCTGTTAAAGGGCCTAATAAACACTACATGTCTGATTTCAATGAAATTATAGCTGTAACAGTGCGTAATAAACACTCCGTGTTTGATTTCAATGACATTGTAGCTGTAAAAGTGCGTAATAAACACTCCATGTCTGATTTTAATGAAATTGTAGCTGTTAAAGGGCCTAATAAACACTTCATGTCTGATTTCAATAAAATTATAGCTTTTAAAGGGCTTAATAAACACTCAATGTTATATTAAAATGTCCATCTGTTGTCTGTCAAATACGATATAATGATCATTTTCCTAATTATTTCATTTTTTTTGCAGAAAATTGAAAGCGAGACACTTTCAACAGAATACTCTACTAAAGATTCTTCTTGGGAAGTTTTGGAATGAACAGGCAACACAAATTTTGCTTGCTGAAATAAAAAGTGATGATGCCACTCAAAAGGGGGGAAAATATAAAAAAGAGAATGTGGATTAGTACATCAGAACAATTAGATACTTATAGATAGTTCACCTAAGAACATGTAAAGGGTAAATGGAACACCTTAGTAACTGCTCTGAAACGAACAAAAGACCATCACAACAGATCAGGGTCCAATACG